GTAGGAGATGTTAATTTCCCATGCACGAGATTACTGTGTGATGGATGTCCTCCCCTGGGGTGGGATGGTGGGTTTGTATAGAGGGCCACTAAGGAGAATACTTTCAAAAAGTAATTGGTGTCACCCTCTTAAAAAAAAGGTTATTAAATTAATTAGAATTAAATTACGATAAAAGAAGGTCCTTTGTCCAGATTTAGTTCAATATAAGAGTATACGCAGAAGTTGGGAGCTTCTGGTCATGAGACCACTTATCTCACCAAGTGTTAGAAACTTCAAGGAGAGATAAGTAGGAGTGTAGCCAGTCATAAATTTAAAAGCAAGTATGGCGTCACGGAGATATAGCTGAGATTTAATAGGTAGCCAGTGCAGTTCTCTCAGAAGCAGTCACGTGGTCAAATTTTCTGAGACCACAGATAATCCGGGCTGCAAAATTCTGGACCGCTTGTAGTTTGAGAAGGTTAGTGTCTGCTGCATTGGACCAGACGGAGGAACAATAAAATAACTTATTAAACACTAAAGTGTTAATTATTATCAATAAGGTCGATCTGTCAAACACATGCTTAACTCGAGAGTGTTAAAATGAGAGTCATTTCTGTTTTCTTTGTTTTAACTGTTTTCCACTGCTTTTTGCAACTCCATCACTGATAATGTCCAATAGTTAAGAACCTTGTAAGTCCACTCATGCAATTTTGTTTCTTGTGTGGGATCATAGGGGACAATCCTAGCTCTTGTCTGCCTGGGTAGCCAATCAGACCACAGGATTCACTTCATAATGCTCATGGGCACAGTGCCAGCAATGTAATAAATGCAAACATGACAGCTTAAGTACCATTTTTTGTTATCTCCTTAATTATTTTTTTGTAAAATAGGTAGCAGCACTGCTTGTATAATGGTTCTAGACAAGAAAAGCCAGATTCTTCATTCAGCAAATCTTGGAGATTCTGGATTTTTGGTAATCCGCCAAGGTTCAGTAGTGCACCAGTCATCTGAACAACAGCATTATTTTAACACACCTTATCAGCTGGCAATTCCACCTCCAGGACAAGCTGGAGCTGTGATACAAGACAGGTTTGTATTGGGAAACTTGCTTGTGTAAACGTTGTAGTAATTTCTCAAGAATTATAACAAAAAACCATTGTATTGGAGGAATAATAATTATTCATTTGTTTGTATTGTCCACTGAAGGTTTTTTTGGGAAAAAAATGAGCTTTTTGCAAGGCAGAATTATAATTTAAAAGGAGAAACCAATTGAAACATTTTCAACACTAGATCATCATCAGGGTAAAAACAGCACCAGCAACTAGTGAATAAGGTTCTCTATTATTTTTGTTTTGTATTGTTGTCTTGGTTAATTTTTGTTTTGTTTTGGTGTGTGTTAAATGTAGTTTTTTTTTCCATGATATTTTTTTTATTTACGGTTTGAGCCAAATTGCCTCGAGAATATTTTGAACCTCAAATGGAGAAGCATGGGGTGGACAGAAAAGCCAAACATCTACCCCACTTGACCCTTGAGATAAGGATATTTGCCAGCCTGGGGTGGGTCATTGCACTCTATCCTTCTGCATATCAATTCTGCAGACTGTCAATGAAATGTGTTGAAACACTCAGTGGGAGGGGGTGGTAACATTATTAGGACTAACATCTTACCTCTGCAAATAGTTGCTTGATACCTAACAAACCAATATGCTCTGGTGACTACTTGCGTGGTGACATGGCTTTTGTTCAGATATAATGTTTACCTTTACTATAAGAAATTATACATGTGGTTGAATAAGCCATATAATCTTAAGTGTACTAGGCTTTTATGCATGAATGTTAGATGTTGTGTGAAAGATGTTTTGTGCTCTATGTTTTTTCGTGCATATAGGTGTTGATCTGCCATATCTTTTATTTACTTTGATGATATTTGCTTTTGTAAATATGTAGGATTCAATAAATATGTCTTATTAACCAAGTGCGAGGGCCATACTAGGAGAATATTGGCCTGGGTCTTGACAGTATGGACCAAGCACAGCGAGGTCCGTCCAAAAAAGACCCGGAGGGCCGATATTCTTCCAGTATGGTCCTGAGCAAGCTTGGTTAATAAGAGATTTATTATACGACTGAAGTTCAAAGGGACACAAGTGCGGTATCATTCGGGACCATTCGGGACAGTGCCCGGTCCAATACTGAGAGAATATTGACCGGCAATAGAGCATTTTGATTGGTTGATTTTAGTTATTGGCCCTCTGACTGCCCGAGTCGTGTAATAAAATAA